AACGAAGGATTTTAGGGAGATTCTAAAGCATAGCTCCCTTGAACAACGAAGCAATAAAAATGACAGGCAACGAAATAAAGAAAGCGAAGGATTTTAAGAAAATTCTAAAGCTTAGCTCCTTACAGCAACTTAGTAATAAAAAATGAAAAGCAATGAAATAAAGAGAACGAAAGATTTTTGTGAAATTTTAAAGCAAAGATCCTTACAGCAACAAAGCATTAACAAATGACAGGCAATGAAATAAAGAAACCGAAGGATTTCAAAAAAATTCTGAAGCATAGCTCCCTACAGAAACTTAGCAATAAAAAATGACAGGCAATGAAATAAAGAAAAAGAAGGATTTTAGGGAAATCCTGAAGGATAGATCCCTACAGCAACTTAGCATTAAAAAAAGAGAGGCAACTAAAAAAACAGAGTGAAGGATTTTAGTAAAATTATGAAGCATAGCTCCCTACAGCAACAAAGCAATGAAAAATGACAGGCAACGAAATAAAGAAAGCGAAGGATTTCAAAAAAATTCTAAAGCATAGCTCCCTACAGCAACTTAGCAATAGAAATGACAGGCAATGAAATAAAGAGGGCCAAGGATTTTAGGAAAAATCTAAAGCATAGCTTCTTGCATAAATGAAGCAATAAAAATGATAGGCAATGAAAAAAAGGAAGCGAAGGATTTATAAAAATTTCTGAAGCATAGCTCTTTACAGCAATGAAGCAATAAAAATGACAGGCTATGAAATAAAGACAACGAAGGATTTTTGGGAAATCCTCAAGACTAGCTCCCTACAGCAATTAAGCCATTTAAAATGACAGGCAATGAAATTTATAGAGCCAAGGATTTTAGGAAAAGTCTAAAGTAGAGCTCCTTACAGCAACGAAGCAATAAAAAATGACAGGCAATGAAATAAAGAGAACGAAGGATTTTTGGATAATTCTGAAGCATAGCTCTCTACAACAACGAAAGAATAAAAATGACAGGCAATGAAAAAAAGAGAACGAAGGATTTTAGGGAGATTCTGCAAAAAAGAATTTTGCAGAATCTCCCTAAAAGGGCCAAGGATTTTAGGAAAAGTCTAAAGCATAGCTTCTTACAGCAACGAGGCAATAAAAATGACAGGCAATGAAATGAAGAGAACGATGGATTTTTGAGAAATTCTAAAGCATAGTTCCATACAGCAACAAAGCAA